AGACACACAGTTGAGAGTCTGATGCATCACGTCCTCCTCTGAGAGCCGAGTCAGAGCTGGAAGCTTCACCAGACTCATCAGACGAGCATGAAGCTCCACGTCTCTCCTCACACACTCTTTCTCTTTCTGGTGCAAGGGGGAAAGAAACTGCTTTTTTCCTCTTATAAGTTTTGATATGGAGACCTTCAGTCTTTCATCACTTCCACACAACACAACACACAGCTTCTGTTTCCTGCTCGCATGTACACTTCCTTAAACAACACCAAAAGAAAAAAAGGTTAAAGCAACATTTTCAGATATATTTTTAAATTATATTAATTTAGTAAATGTTAAAGCAATTGAAAAACTTGCTTGGTTCATAAACTTACTCTTTGCTTGCTCACGCTCATGTCTCAGATCTGGAGTACTAACTGTAAAAAATGAGTGAATACATGAATACAGAACAATTCTCATCGTCTCAAACCTATGATGGTGCCTACAGTTCCTATATTTAACCTTAATTCACTCTGCATGTATTTACTATGAGACATTGCAATACATACGATTCAATACGCAATGATGCATCATAATTGAAACCGTTGTACATTACAGCATCTCATATGAGCGTCTCTGATCACATTTAAAGTACTGAGAGAGATATTTATATGAGCTGCTTCTTTAATTAAACACACTGACCCTGATAAAGAAACTTGGTGCTTCTGAATCCTCTGGTGAGTTTTGAGTAGCTCTGATCCATCATGCATAAATAAATCAATCAAATGGCTATACACAAAATGACTTGGCCTGAATTATACTGCAAGAAAGATACTGTAGTCAAGGCATAAAAACTCTCAATACTACTACCGATATTATGACAGAATCACTGTTTTTGGCCACTCACCCAAAACAGTTGAATGTTATACAAGTTCCTAGTATTCAGTAACCTGGTGCTGAATATGTAATTGCAAAAGTAGGAATACTTACAAAAGGATATTTTTGGTATATTATGAAGAAAACCTTTGGCTTCCTTTTTCTCTATATGAGTGTCTTGGGATTTTCCATCATCATCTTCATCCGAATCTTCCTCTTCCTCCTCTATTCGGAGTGAAACAAAAGATCTGCTCTGATCTTCATCGACTGATGATCCTTCTGCATCATGATACAGATACTCTTCACTGTTCTCTCCGAGGATCTTCTCTAATCGCTGCAATATTATAGAGCAGCATTCCTCGTTTTTATGATCAAGCTGCAGATGTCCTCCTCCACATTTGATAATTAACTGCTGAATTAATTCATTAGCTCTCGCAGCATCATGCATCTCTTCATCAGTGGTGATCACTATAGAGCGTTTAACGGCCTCTTCACTGAATCTCTCCAGCATATATTTCACTCTTCTCAGGTCCTCCTCGGTGAAGTCTT